AACCAAGATTAAACAAGCTTTCTTCATGCAACAAACTTCTAAATCACATAGAATTTTTGTCACAAAACATAACAAAACTCCACCTTGACACAAATTCCATAAAAAAGAATTGATAAGTGCGTTTTTACACACTTATCGTACTCTCAAAACATGGAAAATTATTGATTAATATGTTTGACTATATATTAATTCTACGTAATTTACGTTTTGTAGGATAAAGTGATGAATGTAGCGGAAATAAGGATAAACAAGTTAAAAATAACCAAAATGGAGGAAAACGGAAGTTCAAGGACCAAGTTGCAAATAATCCATAGATGCGACGGGCAATAGAGTGAAGATTGAGGGCGTTAGAGATCAATTGGACAAAGAAAGAAGTCAAATGGATGAAATACAATCATAGTATGATCACACATCAATTTCCAATCGAAAAAAGTTGTGCACTAATTTCAGCCTCATATTGAGACCCATTTTTACATGGGAAACGATCGAATTGGACAGTGATATGTGAAGTAAAGTTGTATCTCTTTGAGTCAGCTTTCCAACGCATCTTGAATCACCTCAATCGGACATCGGGAGAAGAAGATACGACCAAAATACTGAAAACTGTCCGACGGAAAAACGTTTTAAACATACGGCCGCAAGAATTTATACCATGTGACTGCATGACCATTTTCAGCAAATTAAAAGGACTGAGACATTTGTTCCTTGCAACCGCGAGGCTTTATACCATGCGGTTGCATAGTTATAAAGTCAAGTTTCTTTCTACGACTCAAACACTTATGGTAAATTATTGCGGCACAATTTCTCAACCCTAAAAGACTCTAGAACGTTCCAAAACGCCTCATTCCTCATTATTCATCATTCTTTCATATCTTTTTGCTCAAGAAACTCATTAAGAACTAAATCTTTTGGTGAAGTTACGAAGGAACTCGATTGGAATTGGAGATTTCTACATCATATATTCATGTAATGTGCTTTTTCATTGATTAAGTAATTCTAGGGTTCATATTTACTCTTTACGAATTAGTATTGAGTTTTACTTAACTCTTATTAAGTTTTTCATGGAATTAATCACGTTTCTTCCTTTGAATAATTGAAATATTGGTTTGAGTTTAAATTCCAAATACTTTATTGGAGAAAACTGTCAACCCTAATCG